AACAAGGGTGCCTGAACGATGCATATTTGTATACCTAACCCTTAACTGTACCCCACAATTTTAAAATAAAAAAAGTTTAATAAAAAAAGGAAACAAAAAAGATAATAGCTCTCTATATATAACAGCTTAAACATTGTGAAATATTAAGTTTTGCATTTGAGATTCTTTCAGGTCCTGAATACAGGCGAAACCACTGATGCTAGTTATTTGAAGCAGCTATCTCATCTAAAAATGTAGTTTTCACATCCTGATGATTTCATCTCCCTTACCCCAATCTATCAGCAACCCCAGTTTCCCAGCCCCTCACCCTCCATAATCCCCCTTATAAGCCCCATCTCCTCACAGAGATGAATTTTAGGGTCTCCTCCCATCTCCCTGCTCAGCTGCCCTGTAGTCATTAAATTCTTTCTCTGCTGTCTCAGTGAAGTCGACTGTTACTGTGCAGTAGGCATATTAACCTCTTGGTTTTGTAACAGAACTTTGGATAATTATTTTAAAATTATGCTCAGAGTTGGGCTCGGTGGCTCAGCCTGTAATCCCAGCACTTTGGGAGGCCAAGGCAAGTAGATTGCCTGAACCTGTGGGTTTGAGATCAGCCCGGGCAACTTGGCCAGACCTCATCTCTACAATAAATAAATTTAAAAATAGCTGGGTGCGGTAGCACACGCCTGTAGTTCCAGCTACTTGGAAGGCTGAGGCGGAAGGATCGCCGGAGTCCAGTAGGTCGGTGCTGGGGTGGTTGTGAGCGTTGCCACTGCACTCTAGCCTGGGCAATGGAGTGAGACTCCAACTCAAAAAAAAAAATTATGCTCAGAAAAGCAAAACACTATAATTGCAAATATACTTCGTAGGTATCAACATAAAAATTCTGAGACTGCACCGCCTCCTATTCCCTCCAGCACCCTCAAAGTGCTGGAATGCAAAAACTGGTACTGCATGATACTGTTTCATAAAACATGTAAGAAAGCATTTTCACAGACTCATCAATATTGCTATATGTAGACAGGGTTAGTCAGTTATTTATTTATTTTCTTAATACACATCATTTTAAAGGTAGTTTTAGGGTTACAGAACAATTGAGCAAAAAGTACAGAGAATTTCCATATAACCCTCCCCCTTCCAGTTTCCCCAATTATTAACATCTTACATTATTATGGGATGTTTGTTGCAATTGATGAGCCAATATTCAAACATTACTATTAACTGAAGTCCACATTTTACATTAGAGTTCACTCATTCTGGGTTTAACATATGTACAATACATGTATGTACTATTACAGTATCATATAGAATATTTTCACTATCCTAAAAATCATCTCTCCACCTATTCATCCTTCCCTCCCCCTGAACTCTTGCAGTCACTGATCCTTTTAATGTCTCCATAGTTTTGCCTTTTCCAGAATGTCATTTACTTGCAATCATACAGTATAAAACTTTTCCAATTGGCTTTCTTTCACTTAACAATGCACACTTAGGGTTCCTCCATGTCTTTTTTCAGCCTTGATGTCTAATTTCTTTAATTGCTTACCTGAGTCCTGTACCCTGAAACTTTGCTATCTAATTGCTTACAGGTGTCAGGAGGTGTTTGATGTTGTTTCTTTGGAATTTTCTACAAAGACAATCATGTTATCTGTGAACAAAAACAGTTTTATCTCTTCCTTCCAAATCTGTATATTTTTTCTTGTTGAAAAGCAGTAATGAGAAGGGACATTTTTGCCTTATTCCTGATCTTAGCAAGAACATGTCTTGTTTTGAGTGCTAACTATGTTAGCTGTAGGGTTTTTTGCAGACTTCTTTACCAAGTTGATTATGCTTCCCTGGATTCCTACTTTGTTGAGAGATTTTATTATGACTGAGTATAGGACTTTGTCAAATGCTTTTTCTGCATCTACTGATATTATCATGTTTCATCTCTGGTCTGCTAATGCATGCAATGGGTTACAAGGATTATCAAATGTTGAAGCAGCCTTGCATACCTGCAATAAATCCCATCGGTTATGGTATACAATTATTTTTATATAGTGGATTTAATGTGCTAATGTTTTGTTGAGGATTTCTGTATCTGTGTTTGTAGAATACTGGTCTGCAGTTTTTCTTTCTTGTAATATCTTTGTTTGGTTTTGGTATTAGGGTAATGCTGTCTCATGGAATGAGTTAGGAATTGTCGATTCTGCTGTTACTCTTTTTATTTTTTTTTGAGTTGGAGTCTCATTCTGTTTCCCAGGCTGAAGTGCAGTGACACGCTCACAGCCACCCCATCGTCAACCTGCTGGGCTCAGGCATCCTTCCGCTTCAGCCTTCCAAGTAGCCTAAACTACAGGTGCATGCTACCATGCTCAGCTAAATTTTTGATTTATTGTAAAGATGAGATCTCGCCAAGTTGCCCAGACTGTTCTGGAACCCATGGGCTCAAGGCAGTCCCCTCACGTCGGCCTCCCAAAGTGCTGGGATTACAGGCTTGAGCCACCATGCCCAGCCTCTGCTGTTACTTTCTAAAAGAGATTGTGGAACACTGGTATCATTTCTACCTTAAATGTTTGATAGAATCCATATCAGTGAACCCATCTGCCCCTGGGACTTTGTTTTGGAAAGTTGTTAATTATTGATTCAATTTCTTAAACAGATATAAGTCTATTCAGGTTTATCTTGTCTGAGTTTTGATTGAACAAATCTTGTAAGGAATTGGTCAATTTCAGCTAGATCACATTTATGGGCAGAGTTGCTAACAATATTTTTTTCTAATATCCATGGGATTACTAGTAATGGCCTCTCTTTCATTTTTTTTTTTTAATTAGCAATTTGTGTCTTCCCATTTTTCTTAGTCAACCTGGCCAGAGGTTATCAATTTTATTGACTTTTTCCAAAAAAACAAGTTTTGGTTTTATCGATTTTTTTTCTCTTCAATTTCACTGACTTTTACTCCAATTTGTTTCCAGTTTAATTTGGATTTAATTTGCTTCTCTTTTTCTAGTTTCCTCAGGTGGCAGCTTAGATTATTTGTATAACCTTAGACTACTTGTATAACCTGATCCTGTGATAACAGTATGCAGTCTTTACCCTGTAAATAAAAGCCCCATTCCAGCTTGATTCTGGCCCTACCCCAGCCTCAACATGCTTCCTCATATTCTTAAAAAGTCTGTGAGGGCCCAGAGTTTGGAAATACTGGACCCCCGAATTGACAATCCACAGCTCTGAGCAGCACTTTTTATGTATGGGCCTATTTCCTGGGTCATGTCATGGAGGGCTGCCATTTATAGAAGGTTTGAATAATAATTTAGGCTGAAGGCTGGAGTGCTCACATATACCCGAGGTACTTTATGGCATGAGATAAACCACAGGTGAGAAGAGAAAGGGGGTCATATGGGGTAGGGCCTAGAGCTTCACATGCACAGAGCACATTTTTAAAAAACATTTTATTATTTTGATTTATAACTTTTCAATGGTTAGATATAAGCTCTGTGGTTCACCTTCTAAAATGTTGCCCCAGGGCCATACAAACATTGGGGACAGGTCTGATGCTGTACCAACTACTAAACTAGAGATACCTACTTCCTACTCAAAATTACATCAAGTTCCATTATGCCTATGAAACACATACACAGTTTATATAATGTACCATTTGTAAATAAGTCATATGCACTGCAGGGATAATTCACATATGTGTTTAACTGCTGCATTCAATTCATCTATGCTTTACAAAGCTTCATATTCAAGTAGAGAGGACTAGAGCTGTAAAAAGGGTGTAATCATTAATATAAAGGAATTTCCTGAGTTTAAATACCAATTCCTTTGTAATCCTAATGGAATACAGATCCCAAGTTTCTTTTGGTTTTGTAACCTAATTGTGCTCATGGTAAATTCAAATCTAATAGTAAAATTTGATATAAGTACATACATACACATACACACAACAGTACATGTAAAACCTTGTAAAATCTGAATAAGGTCTGTATCTTAGTAGCATGGGTCCAGCAATTTCTTAAACTTGAGCATAAGATTACATAAGATATTATTCATTAGAGGAAGCTTGGTAAAGGGCATATGGAAATTCTCTGTACTATTATTACAACTTCTTTTAAGTTTTTCCTATTGATTACTTTTTAGAAGTTTTTAAAACTTTACATTCCACAATATACATCTATAAATTATCACAGTATTGGTTTTGTTTCCTAAAGACTACTATTGCATCAAACTCAAAACACAACTTGTAATTTTATAGTATTTCTAAGCAAAATTTTCAATTTCAATTTCTTAAATTGACAAATTTCCCCTCAATGTAAACTCTGACACAATCTTGTTTGTATTTTTGTCAAAAGCATTTCCAAATTCAAAAAACCTGCAAGATGTTATACTAATATTAACCACCTGACATTCAGTGAAATATCACTTCTTTAACAGAGGCTGTCCTATATTTGTTGTAGTCTATGGGTCTATCCTCCACCCCCCATTCTTACTTTGGAATAAAATAAGGCCAGTTGTGACAAAGGTTACAAAACATTAAGGATGTCAACAGAGCTTTCTTCACAGTGTGACTACTTTCAAGTGCTGTGGAGGCTGACTTCTGACTAAACAGTTCTAACATTCATTTCATTCAAAAGGTTTTTCTCCTGTATGTGTTCTCTGATGAACAATGAGGTTTGACTTTTGAGAGAAGGTTTTTCCACATGTGTTACATTCATAGGGTTTCTCTCCTGTATGTGATCTCTGATGTTTAGCAAGGTCTGATTTTCGGTAAAAGATTTTTCCACATTCATTACATTGACAAGATTTCTCTCCTGTGTGAGCCCTATGATGTACTGTGAGGGATGATTTGTGACTGAAGGTTTTCCCACATTCATTACATTCATAGGGTTTCTCCCCTGTGTGTTTTCTCTGATGTAAAATAAGTCCTGATTTCACACAGAAAGATTTTCTACATTCATTACATTTATAGGGCTTCTCTTCTGTATGGGTTCTCTGATGTACAATTAAAGCTGATTTATGGCAGAAGGCTTTTCCACATTCGTTACATTCATAGGGTTTCTCTCCTATGTGAATTCTCTGATGTTGAGTGAGTTGTGACTTCTGGCAGAAGGTTTTCCCACATTCACTGCATTCATAGGGTTTCTCCCCAGTATGTGTTCTATTATGTTTAGTTAGATATGACTTATTGTAAAATATTTTTCCACATTCATGGCATTCATAGGGCTTCTCCCCTGTGTGTGTTCTATAATGTTGAGATAGGGTTGACTTATGGCTGAAGAATTTCCCACATTCAGGACATGCAAAGGGTTTCTCCCCTGTGTGAGTTCTCTGATGTACCGTGAGGTCTGACTTCAAGCAGAAAGTTTTCCCACATTCATAACACTCATAAGGTTTCAAACCTGTATGAATTATCTGATGTCTGGTGAGTACTGACTTGTGATAGAAAGTTTTCCCACATGCATTACATTCATAAGGTTTATCTCCTATGTGAATTCTCTGATGCTGTGTAAGATGAGACTTTTGACAAAAGGATTTCCCACACTCAAGACATTCGAATGGTTTCTCACCTGTGTGAGTTCTCTGATGTACTGTAAGGTGTGAATTCATACAGAAAGATTTTCCACATTCATAACATTCATAGGGTTTCAGCCCTGTGTGTGTTCTCTGATGTTTAGTGAGGTCTGACTTCTGGTAAAATGTTTTCCCACATGCATTACATTGATAGGGCTTCTCCCCTGTATGTGTTCTCTGGTGTAATGTGAGGGCTGACTTGTGGCTAAAGGCTTTCCCACATTTATTACATTCATAAGGTTTCTCCCCTGTGTGTGACCGCTGATGTTTAGTGAGGTTTGATTTCTCCCAAAAAGTTTTTCCACATTCATTACAATGAAAGCGTTTCTCTCCTGTGTGCACCCTCTGATGTCGAGTGAGGTGTGACTTCTCCCAGAAAGTTTTCCCACACTCATTACATTCAAAATGTTTCTCTCCTTTATGAGCTTTCTGAAGTTGTGAGAGGTATAATTTCCTCCTGAAATTATTCCCACTTTCATTGTATACATAGTGTTTCATATGCACCCCAGGAAGTTTCAAAAAGGTAGAATTTACACATAAGGATTTCTCACAATCATTAAATTCATAGTGATTTTCCTTTGAAGGAGGTATCTGATGGAACAAGAGGGATGAGTTCTCATAGAAAGTTCTCCCATATTCATTATATTCACAGTCAATTACTTCTTTGTTCTTTCTCTTTTGTGTACTGAATATTGCCTTTTCAGGTAAGGTTTCTTGACAAATGTTATATTCAAAATTTTGCTCTAAAGACTGACTCTTCTCATGCTGCAGAGGGTCCTCATAATGACTGAGTGTTCTATTTTTAAATAATTCACTTTTCTCTCTAGTATGAGTTTTCTCATACTTAATATTGAGTAACAATTTTCCACAGGCATTAAATTCATCGGGCTTTTTTCCTAAGTAGTTTTTCTTACTGATAACCAATTGTGAAATATTGCTGAAATTCATTCCACATGCGTCACAATGACAGAAAATTTTTCCAGAAGGAAAAGAATGTATGTCCATGTTAAATGGTTTTCCTATTACATTACCTCGTTCCTTAGTCAGCATTTTGTTATTGATGAAAACAACTTCCCACAAATGTTTAGGCTGGTTTTCTTTGCTCTTCTCTTTCAGGTGATCAGTTTTCCAGATTTCTAGAAATAAGAAAAATTAATCTTACCATATAAATACTAACACATTTCTTAGTGAATGAGACTTCTCTACAAAGGCCCTATGTCATAACAAACAGTGGTTTTCTTTTGGTCCAGCTTCCATAGATGAAACTAATTGCAAGTGTGTATTTTTTCTATTTCATGGATTTCAAGTAGAAAAAAAAAAACCAAAACAAACAAACAACATAAACAAAAGGCCTGGCCAAGTAGAGAAGTTTTGAGCTATTTGAAAATATACACTTGCTTTCTAACATATGAAGAATAACAGTAACTGCTTAACTCTGAATTTACCCATGCATCACCCCAAAAAACTATAGGGGTCAGCATAAAGGGAGCAAAGAACATTATCTATAATAACTCATGACTTTAGCACAGCTAGAAGATATATACATAACTTCAAATCTCCACTAAGTAAGGAAATATTCAAATATAAGTAAAAAACGGATAATTCACATCTATAAAGAGCCCACTGGTGTCTGTGGTGATCACATGAAGTGGAGGAGATAGAGAGCCTAGAGGTGATGAAACACAAAACTACCTGTGTAAGGGGAAAGTTCCACTGTGAATGGGAAAATACTGAGAAGATGAATTAAAGTTCAGGTGACTGGGAAATCCAAGATGTGAAGTGTATGGGAAATAAAGAAGCAAAGGCTAATCAAACACAGGAATGAAGCTGTAAAAAAAGAAAAAGTGATCACACAAAATAGGATTTAAATTATATGGAAATATCTATGAACTAAATTGTGCTCTCCCCCACCCCCCAAATTTAAATGTTGAAGCTCTAACCTCCAGTGTGACTATATTTGAGATAGGGTCTTTATGGGGGTAATTAAAGTTAAATGAGGTCACAAGGGTCAGGCCTTAATCTGATAGTACTGTTGTTCTTAAAAGAAAAAAAAAGAGGTCAGCCTCAATGGCTCAGCTTGTAATCCCAACACTTTGGGAGGCTGAGGTGAGTAAACTACCTGAGGCTGTGGGTTCAAGTCCAGTCTGGGAAACTTGATGAGACCTCATCTCTACAATAAATCAAAAACTAGCCAGGTGTGGTAGCGTGCACCTGTAGTTCCAGCTACTTGGAAG